ATAAGGCTTTTCCTCAGTATGAATTACTTGATGTTGAATTAGTTGTGAGCAATGACTAACAGCCTTCCACATTCCTTACATTCATATGGTTTTTCACCAGTATGAATTCTGTAATGTACAGTAAGATGTGAGCCCTGCCTGCAGGCCCTCCCACACACCTTACACTGGTAGGGTTTCTCTCCATTGTGGATTCTCTGATGTTGCTTAAGTTGTGAGCTCATTCTAAAGGCCTTTCTGCATATCTTGCAGTCATAGGGTTTCTCACCTATATGAAATCTTTGATGTTGAATAAGAGTACACGTAACTCTTAGTCATTTATTTTTACTTAACTGCGAATGATGGAGGATTACAATTACACAGTGCATTTCAACTGTATCTGTAAAGTTTTATTTCTTTCTTTTTCTTTTTGTTTTTTCAGACAGAGTCTCAGTATGTCGCCCTTGATAGAGTGCTGTACTATCACAGCTCACAACAACCTCAAACTCTTGGACTTAAGTGATTTTCTTGCCTCAGCCTCCCAAGTAGCTGCGACTACAGGTTCCCACCACAATGCCCAGCTATTTTTTGGTTGTAGTTGTCATTGTTGTTTGGCAGGCCCGGGCTGGATTTGGCAGGCAGCTCTGGTGTATGTGCCTGGCACCCTAGCCACTGAGCTACAGGCACCAGGCCAATGTTTTATTTCTTAACAAACATATCAAAAAAGAGTTGAACCTTGATTAAAGGCTTTCCCACACCCTTACATTCATAGAGCTTCTTACCAGTATGAACAGTCTGATGTTGAATCAACTGAGACCGAGGACTAAAGGTTTTCCCACATTCCTTGCATGTGTAGGGATTTTTCCCAGTATGAATTCTGTAATGCACTTTAAGATGTGAGATACAATTGAAGGCCTTGTCACATTCCTTACACTGATAGGGATCTCACCAGTATGTATTATCTGATGTTCGATCAACTGTGAACTTCGACTGAAGGCCTTTGCACAATCCTTACATTCATAAAGTTTCTCACCAGTATGAACTCTCTGAACCAGAATTGAAGGCCTTCTCACATTCCTTACATTCAGGGTTTCTTGCCGGAATGAATATTCTCAGGTTGAATTGATCATGAGCCATATTTAAAGGCCTTCCCACATTCTTCACATTTGTACGG